GGGTCTGGACCGTCCTGGGGGGGGTGTGGGGGTGGCAGCAGGTCCTTTTCACAAAGAGGTGGCCCCGCGGGGCCCTCCCGCCTTTTTCTCCGCAGGGCCTGTGGGGAGCCGTGAGGGGTCGAGCCTGCCGGTGGCCACTGATGAGTCCTGGGGGCCTCTGCCCCAGAACAGAGCCCTGTTCGTGGGTTATGCCTTCCTCCTCACCAGCGCGAAGGCGACAGATAAGGTCCCCAGTGGCAAAAAGTTTGCATCAGCCTCTGAAGAGGAAGGTGAGCAGATGGTTATTCCTGGAGTCGTGGGGTGTGCGTGTGTGTGTGCGTGCGCATCCACTCCTCCTGCCTCAGGAACCGCGAAGGGGAGAAGCGAAGGGGGAGAGGGGAATGCGAGAGGACCCCAGAGGCCCCCCCTCCCAGCCGGGGGTCAAGTGGACAGCGGAGGGCGCTCTCGGCTGGACTCTCCTGGGCTTTGGTCCCAAGCGGCCTCCTTCGGGGCCTTCCGTGCTCTGGAGCAACACAGTGGGAAGAGGGAAGCATTGTGGCCGGACAGCCGTTGACCTCTGCGTTCCTGTTCGGTGGGGAAGAGAAAGCAAATGTCGAGACCCACCCAGGAACCCTGTTGTGCTGGCCCACGAGGGGTCGGCGGCCTTTGCCTTGCCGGGGGCAGGGGGCCCAGCGGTCAGCGCACAGGAGAGGAGAGGCCTTCCTCCTCCCTTGGCTGTGATGCTCCCTGGGTGATCGGGGGCCTGGCTGTCACACTCAGCCTCGCCTACCTCGCAGGAGTGTTGGGAGTTGAAACCTGGGCAGGGCCGTCGCGGACATCGCCTTGAGCTCCTGGAAGGAAAGGCAGGCGTGCCCTGCTTAGTGCAGTGAGAGAAAACGAATCAGCCGGCCTTTCAGGATTGCTGTAGCCAGACCGGAGCACAGAAGGGGGCTGCCGATTCCGAAAGGAGGCCTGCCTGGGAAGCGCCAGGCCTTAGGCAGCCTTCTTAGAAATCCCTCTGCGTTCCAGAATCTGCAGAGACCGCGCCGTACAACCAGCCCTACTTGGAGCGTCAGCTGCGTGCCGGAGGCGGTTTCGTCCTCGAGGACTTCAGCGAGAGCCAGGTCAGCCCATGGGGAGGGGGCACGAGCTGGGGGGGGGTTCCCTGGCCCAGCCTCATAGCAGGGCCTGCGGTGTTTTGGGACGCTCCTGGGGAGTGGCTTCTTTGTCCAGCTGTTTCTCACGTTTCCGATGGCCTGGTGAGAACCAGGAGTCGGTGCTGGATGGGCCCCGTGACTCGCGGTCTGGTCGTGCAATGCTGCACACCTTCAGCCCCCCCCCGTCTCTACAACCTGTGGGTGTTATATAAGCAGCCCCCCAAAAATGGTGTGCGTGTCGTCCAAAGCACTTCCCTTTCCTGTTGCAAAATGCCCCTTGAGGAGGGGACTTGCAAGCTGGGGGGGGGAAGGTTGGGG